TGAGGAAAGATCCAATTTGTTATTGCAACAGAATAAGTAAATGAAATTTACAATATCAGGCTCTAATGGCATTTTGAAGACATAATTTGGTTAAACGAATTAATCAAAGGATTACCCTGCCCGCATATGGTATGAAATATGACTAGGAAATGCATCCCGATTTCAGACTATCACAGAGCTATGTAGAACAGATGGTGGAATTATGTGGCGCCTGGTACACCTTCCAGCCTTGGTGTGGCGTCTCACCCACTCTTATACAGCAAGCTTAGTAATGTAATATAAAAGTGTACCTCCAGTATATTCTGAAATTATCAATGTCGCGTGTTGAAATGTTTTACAGATTTACAACTATTCTCTGCGATTGTCTATAATTATTATAACAGCAATGTATGTTCAATAAAAATGATTGTGTCGCAAGGTCATTGACTCGATTAACCTTTCAATATTTTGATAGATACAGTGAAGTATACGTAAATAAACGTGTTCATTACAACAAACACAATCAATCGATTTCTCAAATACGTATTTTAAATGAAAAAAAATATAAGTAAATGAGAAAGTATTTCAACCGAAAATATATATATTACTGGCAGAGTCATTTACATGAGAAATGTCGGTGTATATAGTCATTACGTTATTTCATCATAAGGTCTATGGATTTGAAGCCTGAATGGTTCACCTGTTTAACTGCATTTGATAATACAGTGGACAACCCGAATCAAATAAGTCTTGATTACTCTACCACACCTCCCTTGATAATACCTTGTTATAATTACCATTAGCTGGTGATTGTCATTAAGTTTCATTCAATTTTCAAGGGTATTTTCTAATAATCTATCACCTGATTTTTTACAAACGATGCCAACGCATGTCTGACGTACGGAAAATGTATATAACCAGAAGCCATAATTTACAAATACATCTATTGACCAGACATATTTCAGGAAATTGTTCATGAATCGTAATAGGACACCACAACACCCTAATGAAAACCATGTGATTGAGCAAATGACCTCTTCTCTTTTCCAACATATGATAGGGAATTGGACCTCACTGTCCTGTATGTTATCCATTGCACGTAAAGTTAATATGACCTGTGATAATGTTGTTTGGCGAGGTTTTGCATGATATGCATCTACAAGCATCTCCACCTTTCTGACGGCATTTCAATAAAACAAATATCATTACAACCGGTGATGAAATTAATCATTTAGATTATTTATCAAATATGACAATGCGCAGTGTTTACAATACAATTACGTTTTATCTGATTTTGATAAACATATAAATGTTTTCAATTTATTAAATGTAGATTTTGATTTACCATTTCGTTAATTAAACTATACTAAAATGGCACTAGATCGGATACAATAGGAAGTGACAACCCGAACACCGCTTGCGATATTACGATATATCCCGTGTTGGAAACTCTGCACAGAATTTAAAATCAATTTTTTAAAGAAAATGTTATTTTATTTTATCTCCTTATTTGCTCACAGTGAACACCGGTAAAGCGCTCTCTACGTAGTTACTCCGTTGAGCTATGGAAACATTCAACAAAAACGTCTTTTCTTTAGAGTGACCTTTACAAATGCCACATGTTCGTTTTCTTGACATTTAAATGTAGATTGAATTATCTCTTAATGGAAGGGCCAACTCCCCATTTATTTGAACACTTACACCAACCGTTACTTTATAGTAAACGGGAGTACATGTCAAACCTCCCAAGCAGTTTCAAACATTGCTACCTGCACATGGTGGAATAATTTAATATGGTTACGACTGATCTTTTGCAGTCTGCCTTTCTAACACCAAGGGGAATCATTTGTCGAATATAATCTGCAATAAATTGGCCATTTCTTTTCCAGAGATGCAACGAGAAGTCTAATTCAAATGTTTCCAGACATTTAAACAAAAAAGAAGGGAATTGTCAAGGTTTGGTATCAAAAACGCAAAAAGCAAGGAACAGAAAGAACTACATGTACTTATCAGAATATAGCCATGTTTTCTGTCTTGATTCACTCATGGGTAGTCGGGTTGCACTGTGGCAATACATCCGCCTTTCACTAAGACGTTCAGGGTTCAATTCCCCGAGCAGATATAAAAGGAATGGATCACCTGCCCGATCGTTTAGCTTTTCCCCGGGTTCTCCATTTTCCTCCCACAATTGCACTCCGTGCAAGCTTTCATCCGGGCCAACAAGAGTAATTGCTTTAAGTTTAAAGCATTGGTTCTCCTGAAGAATGTTTAAAATTACAACATAGATCGACCTGCTCGTCACAGGATAACGTTTGTACATCTTAACAAGGGTTCGGCTCTCTTATTAGTAATTACCTGCCCAGACCTAATTGGTTATTCTTATCTATTTTAGGAGTGCATCCCCTTCTCTTTGCTTTTATCTGAGCCATACGGTTTATTTATTCCAAACTGAGAACAAGGTAATTCAATAGTTTTCAAAATTTAGATATAATTGATATATGTATGTAAATGGTTAACGGTTAACTTGTCCACACATATATATTTCTTCATAATCAACACTGTAGCCAGTAAGATCATTCTATTCAGTCCTGTAGATTTCCCATTCAAACAGATACGCAAATCGCAAAATGTATCCACAATTAAACATTTTTGATAACGCTTTACATACATTAATGATCTTCTAATAACACAATTGATGAAAAATATTTTGTATTAAATATTTGTATTCGATTTAGACACTGTTTGAAAGTGCCAGTTGCGTGTTGTCTACGTTGTTTACCATTTGAAGTAATCAGCGACAAACATAAGAATATACATGTTGATAAACAATTAATCTAATCTTACTAAACACACCCACGCATTCATATTGATAATGATTATTTTTCATCCACTAATCTATCAAAAAAAATTCAAGCTGACACTACAGAATCCTACAACAGGGCATATGACGTCACAATAAGCGGGAAAGGAAATTTGTCTGTCTCAGCACTGACTATTTCCCTCGTCTTTTTGCTCACCGAGGTAAGCTTTAAGAAAAATATCACTAGGCCTGAGGTAACGTTCCAGTCCTCGCAATGAAATATCCAAAATAGGAAAACTTTTGAAGGTTTTGACATTGATCCGAAGACTGCAACAACAGGGAATACACGGTCAAGTATTTCTAACGACAGTGAAATCGGAACTTTAGTAAAAACAATATTTGAGAGGTTTTAAAGGTGAACAGTAAATGAAAGATTTTTTTTATGAAAATAGGGGAAGTGCTGGGTGTTTGGTAATGCATTATTAGCTATTAGATTTGGGAGATGTTTCAAGATTTTAAATGGTATTTTTACTAACGTGAAGGGTATTATTGTATATCCATTATAAAAGATATTAATTTGTACAAAATGCGTGTGAATGGAGCGTATTGAACACAGGTGAAGATCATAGGGGCGATTTTTGACACTTTTAATCCGTTGCGGTTTGTGTTTCTCGGGAAACGGACAAACGAACTGGTCTGTGCTGACATGGTTCTTTACTTGATTAAGACACTTACCCTATTTAATCTGGATGGCATACGGCTCACCTTAAAATGGTCATGACTATTCATATCGCCATAAATCATGCAAACAAACCGATCATTTTGCTTTAGTTAAAACCCTCAACAGATTTTTGTCATAATATTTCCCGAAAGAAGTTTATCTATTTTGCTTTACATCTTATTACTAAATTTCGTCTTAATCAGGAAGGAATTTGAAGATACAAACTCTTGTTGAGATACATTGTGCATGATATCAATTTCCCGCTGACGAACACCGAATTCATACAAACAGAATTCGTGGATATACTCTTTGCAAATACTCAGTTGTACATACGGGCGTATTTTAAGTATCAAGATAATTATTTGTGAGACAGGAAACTTTAGAATGATATAAGTTATCGTAATTCACTATTCTCTCCTTATAAATTTAACCTTCTTGCCAACCTAACTGTGATGTATCGTCAGCTTGTTAATCTGAACAACTTTACAAGAATTATGACCCGAATGTTATTCACAAATCATCAAGAAAATGGTAGCCACTGGTCAGAAGCTATGGAAATATCTTACAGATAGCATCAACTATATGTGTAATTAGTAAATACTAACAAAAATCCCTACTTTAAACTCAAATGGTAGAGACCAAGGCAAAATACATACATGGATATATTAACATAGATGTCAATACAAATACAGGAAAATAAGATCAAAAGTTTCAGGAGGTTTTGATGATAAACGATACTTGTCAATTGGTTGTCACGCTATCGGAAACAAAATCGCGACAATGACGATGAAACCAGTAAGCATGTAAAAGAACTCGAACAAGTTGACATTGATATCGGACAAGAATTGTTTTCAAATAAGACAACATTCACGATCGACCGATTTGCTAATAGTATCCATCCGACCAATACGCCGTTCCGCTGTACACATTTACATATTGCATTTGCGAAAACAAACATGGAGCATAACGACAATGGTGTTTGTATACCAGTCATATTGAAACACAACATAAATCTAAGTCATTAAAGTAAACGCTGCTGATGCGAAAACCATTTAATAAGACTATAAATATTAATTGACTATTAGGTCTTCGAGTATTTCAATAACGTAATGTTTAGTTATATATTTATTAAGGTTTTACTGAAAATTCCATTGCGTGTATGTTAAATAAATCAGGATCAGGCTCGCATGTGTAGTACTGATTGTAAGAATATGTGTAAATGTTAGGTCTTAGTAGAGAGCTAAATCTGTGTAAGTTATAAATCACCTACCTGACATAGATATGATGTAGGTAAAGTATTAATAAATATTTAGAAAAAAAGCAACCAACGTCTATAAAGATTGTAAAATTGAAACACAAGCGAATGGCACCTTTCACTACAAATAATCTGGAAACGTTAGAGCTGGGAAATGGCTACTAGATAGTTTTAGGAAGGGTAAATAAATACCAACGAATTGAAAAAAAAATAAAGAAAGAAAAGAGTATAAAAGTTTTAATTACCTTATACTTCTTACCAAGGCTATCCACCTGGCAAGGTAAGGTCGCCGTCTCACCCGCCAAAACTGTCACATTTTCTGGACGAGTGTCAAGGATAGGTTTATCCACGATATCACTACTGGTATTCTCCAAAACCGCCAACACTACTGAAATAAATGATTCGAACATGATTAAAACTCGTAGTCCTACTCCAACAACAATACAGGTGATGTACAGCTGCTTGTAAGAACCTCTACAACAGTCAATGGTATAACGCGAATGGCCCTCCACTGCCTCTCCCCAAAGCTACTAACTGGTATTGGCAGATTGAATCTTTGAAATTAGGTGTTTCGTGTTGATGGAGTCTGTTAGAGATATCCTGTCTTGCCTGCAACGATACAGTCTTTATTGCACAATGCTAGTATAAAACAGTGGCGAAAGCCTTCTACACCCCATCAGCGACAAATTCCGTCACAACGGTACAGCGTTCTGGGAACAATGTATATATATATATATATATATATATATATATGCATCGAAACTTCGTATAACACTTTGAGGAACGGAGTGCTCTAACAGCAACTTCTACATATGTACATAATAGGGCTGTTCCATCACACCACGTGTGTCTGTCAGCTTCATAGGGGTAACTTTTGCTTTATGACTTAAATAGTTTTATATACTTCTTCACAAGACTTCTAACATTTTCTTTACAAAAAAGAGCTAATATAAAACGACTACCGCCGAATGGCAATGTAATGGCTACAGGCGCTAACGAATCCATCGGATGTGCCTAGGCTATCCAGTCATTAAATTGAGTCTCCATTGGGGTGACATTTTCTTAAAAGGTGCTTTCTTACCTTAGAAGTAAAAGAAATGAATTATATGGTTAACCATGAGACATACAGATCGTCTGAGGGAGTAATGAAACAAAGGTTAAAGATGATAAGAAACACCTTCATGCAAATAAACCAATACGTTGAACCGCCTTAGTAATTATCTATGTTATCAGCTGACGATAGTCCCTCAGTACCTCCCAATACCAGTTAGTGGGCTTTCTCTTGGTGCATTAATGTTTACGTGATATAGGGAGGAAAGGAAACGACCAAACTCAACGATGTCGAAAACGAAGTGTAGATGAAAATGAAAACGTCAGGGGTTAAAAACAAGTTGTAATGAAACGCAGTATGCAGGCCATTACCAGAAACACAGAAGTTATTCGGGTGACAGTTATTGTCATTCGACATTATGTAGAGTCTAGGTCTGTCTCAGAAGGTGCTAATGTAGAAGACAATTTATAACATCAACTCACAAGACAGGCGTACCTAAATGTGTCTATACTAATTTTCAGACGTATTCGAGAATTATCGTATAATTCAATGTCGCGGCGACAACAAAATTAATATCGGTTCTAAATTTCAACAACATTTTATCAAGTACTAAAATCTTATCAGCAATTGATTAATTTCATCTCACGTAAACCTGATCTCCTCCACAACAGCAATACATCTTTGGTTCGAGATTACAACATAAATAAGGAATCACTATTTCATGTTTCGTATCTGGTCGGGACTTTGGGGTTTTACAAACCTTTTCGTTGGCATTTGATTTCATGGATTTATCTTGCCAATCAAAATCTTATGTTACAATAATCCATGTTCACGATTATCGGTTTACATTTTCGCGGATTTATAGTGCTAACGAAAATTTATAATTTTGCAGTATCTTAAATATAGAAATCAAGATCCGGTTGTATGGCAGCTGCTCTAATTATTTTGCTCTGGCAACAGTACCTTAGGAAAAACCAATCTTACAAAAATGAAAATAGATAAAGGAAGCCAATTTATATCAAGACAGAATGTTCTGATATTAAGTAAAGTCGCTTGCCCAGCTAAAATGAAATCGAAAACAAAATATAAAACTGCTTGCGGCCCCAGAATCGCCTCGTTTGATCGTGGTGTGAAACAACAGACTGGTATTTTCTCTAATGTCCTATCCTCTTTATATGGGCCTCTATTGAATTTATTCAAATTTTCGTTAAAGCGACTTTGTTTATCTGATTTCTGTAAAGATAGCTAACATGGTTCCATGGGAGAATTTTCTGTCTTTAACAGCTGTTCAACACCTTACAGTGCGCGAAGGAATCTGCTTCGGGGGAAAACTTGTCAAAAATGGAAATTTCCTTTCGATAAAAATTGTAAACAAACTGTTAAGGGGTTGTGGGTGTTTGTGACAGGTGATTAGTGAGATAATGGAATTCTCTAACGTTACATTTGATCTTCACTTAAACTTAGCGCCTCTAACAATTGATTACCACCGTCTCATTATAATGTATAAGCCATCGATCAACTTGTAATGTTACAAGTACAAAGAACTGTACTAATACTTAAGCAGGGTTGAACACTACTTCTTGCAAAATCAAATCAGAGCCATAAAAACACTAATGTGAAGAAAATATCAACATGAGAACATTATCATGATCCAAATTCAAACCCAAATTCAATAAAGTGTGGACGAAATTTGAAAATTGAGGAAAAAAATGAAGAATTCCTCCTGAAAAAAGAAGACCATGTGTTCCTGAAGGTTAAGCATTATCTGCTTTATCGACGATACTCACCATGTAAAACTTGGTCATTCCAAGTAAGCAATGTTACGTTCTCAGATGAGAACAAGGTATACAACAAGTAAACCACAAGCAAAACATCCCCATTATTTCATCAACCTTCATCTTTTAAAACCCCTTTGTTACGAGTTTGTCTGTCAGTTGTCGACATCTTGCAAGAAAATCGTGACAATAGGTACAGGCTTTTGAATATCGAATCGACTGCGACATATAAACACTATAGGTTGGGGGATACACGCATATAACAAAAAACGAACACGACAATAATATTTGAATAAATAAAGTATATGTCAAATCACGAATAGACTGTAGATTTTATCTTGTTTGATCTGTAACTGATACTTCAATGCGCGTAATGATTTAGCAAAAAATATGGAAAGGCAACATGGATACAAAAAAAAAGTAAATCCTACCTAAGCAAAAGTAAAAATAAGGGAGGTAATGAAAATGCACGCAACCGCCCGATATGAATATCAATAGAAAATGTATAAGGAGAAGTGATTTTTGTAGGTTTATATTGAATGAAAGTAAATGGGATTGTAATATATACTAACCAACTTGCATCATCATTATATCTAAAAGTACATATTACTGTAAATCCCAAACGTTTCAAAACAGAAATCCTGAAAGAAATAAAACGTCTACGACAAATGTTACGATGGCAGTGGTAGTTCAGGAAGCTATATCACTGCCAGTTATGAAAGGTTAATAGTAGAAACAGTGGGAAAAGTATTGACAATTACTTGAACTGGACATAGAATAAATACCAAAGGTGCGACTATGTTATAAGACTTGATTAATGTTCCTATAGTTGTACTTACGATAGAAAAATTTCAAATTCAGTGGAAATCGTTCTCAAAAGGTAGCGTCATATTATCGTATCATTAATGCTGCTGATAAATGATTGTACCATGAAAGATTACTTTGGAGAATTTATACATCTTTTAAACATGTAAGTAAGTCTACGCTTATCCGTTCAAATACAACCTAAAATGAATTGTAATTCCCGACGAGATGTACGAAAGAACCTCTCGTGAATCAAAAATTAAAAGAAAACAAAGGACTTCCATCAAATCGTATGAATGAACAAATTGGGGAACCGGTTTTATCACTTCTTTTTGGCGTTAGGGGGGAGGGGGTGCAAAATATTTTGCTTGAATATTGCAGCAAATGTTCTTTGCCAAATCTTTGAAATTTAACATGATTTTGACTTCATATATGCGGTTGGTGTAACTTAAGTCATATATCATAGGTTTGTTTCCTGGACAACATGACAATTGGTCGAAAAGATCCGAATTTATTGATAACATCCTGGAGTATCAAAGGCTGGCGCAGCTATCAAATGAGGAAAGATATCCCTTTCATTCTTCTTCCTGTTGTTTGGGGCTCGTCTCTTTTCAAGCATCAGGGAACGATATCTGTATTATAGGTGTGAAAAACCGAACTCTTCCGTCACCATGTGGGTGGCCTTCAGCCCAACTGGACTGCTGATCGTCTCGTGTTTAAACCGAAATTCCTGATCTAATATTCAATGTGTGCATATAACAAACAGTCTATCCCCTAAATATACTAATGAGCTATATGTTGATATACGCATGACACAGAAGACCCACATGGATCCTTCCGTTTGATTTTGTTCCCCACATCTTGATACTCTAAAACCAGTTAACATATAACTTTTTTATAGTTATGAATGATTTTTTTAACTTTATTTTACAACCATTGCGAAGCAAGTTTTTCCAACTTATATTAATCACTCTTGTTGGCGCGGATGGAAGGGGTCTTAGTGTGGGAGGAAACCGGAGGTACCCGGGCAAAACCCACGTGGTCGCGTAGGTGACTCCATACGCTTTTCACATCAATTCTCGATGGGGAATCGAAACCAGGATGGCTAGGTGAAAGGCGAGTGCGTTACCATTGCGCCACCCGACCACCCATTATATATCATTCCATATGGATTTCATACGAGATTATATGAAACTTGTCTTGAAGTTTTGTTTTTTGCTCGCCAAAACTAATCTTTTTTTTAATTACATAAAATGAAATCTCATTTCATATGCTATATAGCATAACCTCAACAGTATTTGGCAATATTTCCTTGTCCACTATGAAGGATGATGATTTTATAATACGCATCGTTTCTTACTAAGTTTCACTAATATTTTCCTTTTTTATATTTCGCCATAGTTCAAATAACCCTAATTTCATATTACCGTTTTCTTTCATCTTCTTTCTTCTTCTGGCACATTTAGTTTAAACAGCTTATATTAGAAATCTCGGTTAAAGCTGAAACACCCTGCGTCATTATGTTAACAAAGATAAAAGATCTTTAAATCTAAAAACAATTCTATCCTTGACCTTAGTGAATCTAACTCTATTAGAACAGTGTCTCCTTGTACCAGTAATGCAATTACTTGTCGGCGTGTAATAAGCAGGTTTGATATCTATAATATTCACTCATATCAACACGTATTTTTGTAGATTTATAACTAACGACACGTCAAAATAGCAATAACAAAGTCCATTTTAGAGAACTTTTCGGCGTGATTTCGGTGTTGAAGGTTAA